ACTGCGGGGAACCATGCAAAAAACGCATCTTCGCACGGGCAGCCCGTGCGTTGGCCAATTATTGTATTTCTTACAATCGCAGTTTTTCAGAACTTCCTTACCGCTCTTTTTGTGCAACAAAAAAGTTTTTAACTCTCTCCAGTTCATGGGTATCCTTGTTTCGGTACTGACTGAACGAATGACAATAGCTTCCTAAAGTTCATCTTGCCCGGATCTGTTCAGTTCTGCGTATCTTATTTCAGTGAGCACCAGGACTTCGCTTGCTGGTAATAGTGAAAAACGCTGCAGAATATACGCGCACGCCGTACTTTTTATTAAAAAATACTGTAACGATTAATGCACTAGTTTACAATATAGATACTCGTTGTCTTTGTTTTATCAATTGTTTTCTAGATTTTTGGTTCAGTTTTTTAAGCAGGACATACATTTCATGATATGTTACAGTCATTTCGGCCGCAATACATGGATGAATATGAAAAATATGAAGCAAAGCTCAAGCAATTATATGCCATTTATGTGCTCAAATTTCGAAATGTCGCATACTTGCAGCAATTGCAGGTTTTTTTTTTACTTTTCGCTTTTGTCTTTCTTTTTACATTCCACTTCTTAACGCTACATCGATGAGAGCTCTCATTAGGGTTAACTGCTTTTTTAGTTTAGTATCGCGACCCTAACTGTTAAGCTTATTAGGCTAGTGTGTGTATGCCCAGTTTGTAAGAGTGTGTTTGTGTGTACGATGTCGCGTCTTTTATACATACTTATTAAGACACAGTATGTTAACGAGATAATACAAACAAAAGTGGTGAGGCTCTGGGGAGCCGATGCTCCCCAGAATAGGAGTATAAGCTAAATAAAAATAGGTCGCAGTGGTGGATGGGTAATGGCGATCCCGGCGATGGGGGGAAGTGTTTTCATGCCCCTAGGGCCAGAGATCGGAAGTTTAAAGAGGGTAGGGTGTCCAAAGCTTGAACCAGGGACAGGGGTATTGCGTCATAGTAACGCAGTTGTTCTTTAACTCACTTTTGACAAAAACCATTAATCATCATTTGATCTATTACACGACATTAGCTATATACTCCTGACAGCAAAAGATTTGCATCCTGACTTGTCTTCTTACACATGACACTTACTCTAGTCCCTTTAATTCTACTACTTAATATTTACAACGATAACTTTAACTCTCGAGCAGCGTATGAACACTGGAGCGTCACTTTTCTTCATGCTGCGTTCTTCTTTGTTGGATCAAATCTGGAACTGTTAAATCATAATCTGGGTCTCCAGTTTATGCAGTTGACAGTTTTTCCATCGACTGCAGTCTTGTGTTTTTCGCACGTATACTTTTACACATGATCAAGTTAGCGGATCAATCCAGCTATGGAAGTGGATAAAGCGTAACTTTCAATAGCACCATTCTATCGCCACAAAGCTTGAATTTCACAATAAAATTTGTTTAATTAGGAAGAATTCGATCGATCCGAGAAGCAACGTAGCGCAGAAGCCGAGCAAAATATGCGTAATATGGTGGAGCGGATGCGTGCCCAGGAACTGCTGCTTCGAGATGCACAGTATGCATTTCTTCATACATTTCCGGATAAAGGGTATTTCTTTAGGATGTGTGAAGGAGTGACCACCAGTGAATTTTTCTGAACAGTTTCAGTAAGGAATTAGTTTTACATTTTTTGAGAGAGCATACTTTTTTGATTACTTAGGTCATAGCATGCTTCTTCAATCACACAGCTGGCAACTTTTCCAACTGCTCTGACCAGTGCTGCATCACCTGACGGTCAACCTGAACAGTTCTGATAATCGTTTTGTTTTATGAACGGGCAGTATGCTGAAGGTTCCCGACAGAAATACTTGACAAAGCTTTAGCTGTTTTGGAACGACCTTCCTCTATGTTGAGCATCATTACCTCATTTCGAACTTTGCCGTCTCTGTTCTATAATGAGGTACCTTGTGGACTAGGGTTCGCAGTTTACAGTATTTTAAATTTTTCCTTATAAATTGGTGAGAATTTGCAGGATAGCAGCAATGGATGAGGAGGAGTATACAGGAAGACCACAGGTCAAAGGTTACGTTTTCAACATTCTGGAGCAATATTTACGCTTTTTTTTATTTTTGACAAATTCCTTTGGCACAAAATTTGGGCTTGTTTATTATATATGCAGTATTCGAAAGTAGAGTTAACGACAGTCTCGCCAGCGAATGAATGCTGTTGGCACTTGCTAATACTCTGAGGTTACTTCCGAGTGCTTTTCCCTCCTAAGTGAACACTAAGCATTTTTGATTTTAACTTTGGCAAAACTAAAAAAGCAAGTGGTCGCGAGACTAAGGTTCACATCTTCTCTTTTTTCTTGTGCATCAGGAAAAATTTCCAACAAGGTCTTCAGGATCAAAAGTGTTTGGCAACATGATCGGGGCGGGATTCAGTGATGATGATGAGGATGATCTTGAGAATGATATATTCGATGAGGACGAAGATATTAATGATGAAGACGATGAAGAGATGCAGCAGTATCGCACTAAAATGGTCAACTGCTGTGTTTCTGTTTTCCCAAAATGAAATTTTCTTTTACCGTTAAAAAAATTTTCATCGGCAAAAGCGCTTTCAATCAAAATGCTGGATAATTTTAATGCGATTACTTTTGAAACAGCTTAGTAACGCACGCAGAAGTGACAGTTGCGATACCGTGGAATTTGGAAGCTAATTTAATAAAACATTCATTTCACCAAAAATACTAAGACCGCCTGGTTAATCGCCTTGGGGATCCCATGGGAAATAAATATTCTATGTAATAGAACTCGCTGAACGCTGTATTTCCAAATAAAATGCTAAAATGTACCATAACAGATTGTTCTTGGCACATTTATTTTACAAATCTTATACATAGTTCCTCATCAGTAAGCTCAAGTTTTTTTCGGATTTATCAACAGATCCGATTAATTTTGCGCATAAGAGGCCGCTTTGCAGGAAGAATCGGAGCGAGAACGAGCACTTGATGGTACCAAGAAGCTGGAAGTTAGCAGCGATGATGATTTCTGAGCTCTGATGCCAAAACACTTCGCGAACTGGGCATTTGAACCGCTTAGGAACGAAATTAACTGATAATAAAACGGTGCTGCTGTTCGGCGAATAGCATCAGCTGAATTTTTTTGGGCTGGAACTGATTTATTGATAGCACTGATACGGGGAATAACGGTGATCCGTGAAAGACGACTACACAACAGCCAATTTTTCGAACTTTTTTTCTAGAAGATTTGCTACTAAAACTGGATTAATATGTCGTATTCAGTTAGATGTTACAACACATTCATCTGTTTCGTTTTTTTTTGTCTTTCTTGGTATTCTTGATATCAGTGATTCAAACTAGGGGTGACGCGGTGTCTGGCACAGCTTCGCGTTTGAAGCATTTTAGTAATAATAGGGACATACACACTGACCGTCCATGCGATTTGTGATGTATATATATATATATATATATATATATATATATAAGTTTTTTGGATTGAGTTAGCGATTGAAAGAACTGATTCTTCCAAAAACTGTTGGTTCCGAGATCCTCATACCTGTTTTTGTGTGATCGTAATATGCTTGGTATTACTGATTCATACTACAAACATGCGGCTCAGAATCAAAGGGCCAGATACAGCTGCATTTGTTGTGTAGGAGCATACCAGTAATACCATTATATAGGATATCACTCCGATTATTTTGTGTTTTTGATGTACAGATCCGTTAAGGTTGAACTGAAAATAAAAGGATTCGTCTTCTCCAAAAACGGCTGATTTCGAAAATTTTCTGTGATAAAGAACCAGTGACTAGAACTGATTTTGTCGTACTAATATTTCACACTGAAGATATGCAACTCAGCGCCGAGAGACCTGGTATAAATACATCTGGAATGTGATAACATCACAGTAGCATCAGTAACATGGGATACCCACAGTGACTGTTCGAAGGTCTTGGTGTTTTCGACATACAGGAAAAATGAGTGAGCTAAAAATTGAAAAAATCCGTTTTCTCCAAAAATCGATGACTTCGGAATTTTCGTATACTAAAGAACCGATGATCAGCTTTGAAAATTAGGTGTTATTTTCAAAATAAATTGATCGGTATTTGAAGTGTCGAAAGTCATTTCGATTTTTGCCAGTTGCGGCAGCTGTATTTTGTGAAGGTCACTCGTAAACTGCCCCAGAAAAGACTGGTCATGAACCTTCATTGCATACGACAAAAATTTTCCATTTTCAAAATTTTCTTCTTACTTTCTAACTCATTTCATTCGCTCTCTCAAACTCAAAGCTCAACCGATTATAAAATAAACTAAATGTGGCGAAAACACAGATTTGGGTCTTTGCGCAGGTATTTTTGAGCAGCGGCTACCCACATGCAATGCAGGAGATCCTTTTCCAGAAAACTGCTTTCTGAGGCAAATTAGCCTCACTTCCAGATTTACTTAATTGATGCTTGAAAAAGCTTCTAACTAGTCGTAGGACGCGCCATTTTCTTTTTTTTTTTAATTAAACGGTTGTTTTGACCAGTGCTGCATTGCCTGATGCCATTTCCGCGATGATCCAAACGTTTATCTTTTGAAGAGATTACCGGCTCAGTGATTTTCATGACAAAAACCCACTTTAGCAAGGCCTTAGCTACTTCGAAATTCAATAGCACTTGTTTAACACGTCGTCCCCATATGGTGCCATTCTTAGGCCAAGCTGAAGTACTTTTTCATGTTGAAACTCCAGATATGCGGTCCCATTGCTACATTAACCTGATAAAACTAAATGTAGATGCAATGGAAAGTTCAGTGTAGATATCAACTTAGTCATTTGTCTCCTTTGGATTAACTGCGAAAAAGCAGTTGGTAGCGTTTCGCTGAATACTCTACTGCGAATCTTCGTCGATGGAAAGATTGATGGGAACTATGTGGAAAATGTTAAGAAAACCGGCACAGGCAGATATTCTATACTCCAGTCCGCATATCTTTCGAAAGAGGAATGAAGCAAGGGATCAAATGTAGCTTGTGAATTTCACAACCTACACTGAACTGAATTTTTGTAAGTTGTGCTGGAAAAGTATTCTAGACATCAGTGGTGACGAGCAGCTAGGTAACCTACACTAAATAAAATATTAAATGCGTAGATGTAGATTATCTTTTTCTTATGGATTTTGTGCACAAAAAGCAGGAAACTCATAACTGGTTACTCATGCACTAATGCGGTGGTAAAAACCTTTTAAAGTACAAAATTTCCAAGTTTTTTGGATGTACCATTTTTGGAAAAGGTTCCGTTTCTCCCAGCCCTTTTCACATTCTCTACTTTTCTTCTCATGCTGAGGTCATAGCTTTCCAATAGTGCCCTAATTTTCGTCTTCACGGTCACAACAACCATTTTTTAGCACCCTTAAAACATCTGTGTGTTAAAATTTCCCTAAAGGGAGTATTTGTCAATGGTTTCGAAGTGAAAAGAACACAAAATCCGCGTTTTTCCTGATCATGAAACATCCATTTATTTCTCGTCCCGCCCAGTGTCAAAACTCGCCCCTCGAATATTTTTTTCAAGTGATAGATTGTTATGAGATGGGTGGACTGGAAAATTGTACCAGTTCGAAATCCTGCGCTATGTAAGGACGAATTTCTATTGAATTTTGAGCGAATCCTTTTCAGCCATCATTGGGCTGCACATCTCCACTTAGCAACTATCGCCTATTCAGGTTACGCGCGCTCCCCATATCTCCGCTCGAGCCGGAGTTCAATTTCTGATAGGTACCACTCACTAATACGCGACATTCACTGATTTTCAGTAAGGCGAGCAACAAGTCTTGCTCATCGGTCTTAAGTTTCTCGATTGCAATGATATCCTGCACGCCACACATCTGACGGAGAGTTTTGTTGTTTGTATAAGCATCTTTTGCTCCATTACTCTCTCCGTTACAGTCAAAAGGCATTTAAAGGCTTAGGAAGCTCCGTTTGAAATTGGCGGTATTCATTTCGTTTGTGCGATCAATTTTGTGCCTGAATTTACTTTTTTTTGGCTTGGATTGTCTCATTGTAGTGCATTTTGACACCTCCTTGTCAGTGCTCCTAAAATTTACCGACCCCTGCTTGCTTTGAAATTTTGTCCGACGATTTTAGTTCCACAGCCTTTGCTCATGCTATTGTGAAGTTTTCGAGATTGCAGGTTCATGGAGTCTTTTGCAGTACTATTTGCTATCGTTGCTACTGTATTTGTGTGGAATAGCCAGGCGGAACTCATACGTGAGTGTTCATGTAGCGAAATAGGTCAATGCCGAGAGCGATTACTCAGTTTCGTAAAACCGTGCGCTGACAAATGCCAGGTAACATTACAACATAGATAGTACCACGAGACCAAAGTGCGACAAAAGTCGTCAAATTATTTGAAGCGATTAATTAATTTTGAAACACTGTGAATTGCTAGATTGTGAGTTGGACATCCAATCATAGCGGCACTCATCCAATAGAAGCACAAGCTGATAAACGACCACATCTAGTCAAAGTAGAAGTCAGTGTGTGACCGCAGCTAGTTAAGGCAAAGACCGCTGAGTAACTATGTTCAAACGAAGCAGAATCAGGTAAGTGATCGCATTTTATGCTATTTATTTGACTGCAAAGTGTTATCATTGCAGCAACTTGCATCGAAGGTGCATGCGGACTATCGTCTACTCAAGGACTGCTTCCTTCAACGCGAGCCACAAATCCTGAAAACAATCAGCTGCACGGAAACTGCCTTTAACAGCTCGTATCTCGTTTTTTTTCTCACATTTCACGCAATGCTACTGAATATATCCTGAAGGATTTTGGAGAAAGTCTTAAGTTAAAAAAGCACATCTTACACTATTTTACATGGGAGATCGAGGCACTGCTGACTATTTCTTCCTGCAAAAGTGGAAAGGTGATCGGGACTCTTTTATGTATGCGAGTTAATGAACTAAAACAACTCTTCCTCGGAACTTCTTTTGTGCCATAAACCAATTAATTACTTCCCTTCTTCTCCCTTTTCTCTTAACAGATAATCGTAATTATTATTTAGCAACTCGCGAATTAGTAAGTGCCACTCGTGACGAAGTAAAAAACCATCGGGGCTGCATTTGAAAAGATGGCGTACATATCATATATTGAACAGGCTGAGTGGCTGAGTGGGTGTGCAGTCCAGGACCGAAGGGCCTAGCAGCTGTGAAAAAATCCCAGTAACATCACTAACACGGAAGTCTTGTTATTCGTGGTAATTAACAATTAGGGCATTGATAATAATGCTTAATTTTCGCATTGTTTATCTGCGCTAGGGTTGTTAATGCAGTTATAACAGAACGCGGATAATTTGTCAGCGGTTATCAGACAAATGAACGCAAGCGTCAGGAGAATAAGCGTTCTTGTGCAATTTTGCCCTTAGTTGCTGTTAGGTCAACTGCCGAGGTTCATAACAATCTTATTCTCCGGGCTAATAGTTGGGGTTGAGTTTCGATGGACATTAATTACGGTTATTACTAATGGGTGCCAAATTAAAGGTGCGCAAAAGAACCGGGACGCTATGTCCAGAAGAGATATTTGGAATCATTAGAGATTTCTGGACTGGAAGAAATCAATCGAATGCTGGGAGGTATGCATTTCGGTAACATAATTTCCCAAATTTCTGGTCACTATGAATAAAATTTATTCCAGCTGGGTAGTTCCAGTGTTCTTATAAATCGCTCATTTGTTTCGTTTTATAAGCTGGTACTGTCGTATGCCAAAAAGCCTGCCATAAGTTTGTTTTTAAGCAACTTGTCAAAGAGGATGCCATTGATACAAATTTGCCTGCAGGTGGTTGTTCTTGACATTTGCAACATTTACTTTTCGGCATTTCTGCCTTTCACTGAGGGTGAACTGCGGTTAAGTTTCTGACTTTAATTATATCTCAGTGAGGCGGAACCTAAAATTACCGCTGAAAAATGTGATTAAATTACTCGCTAAGCAAAAAATTTTGTAAATAAGAAGTGAAAAACAATTAAAAAATACAACATGAGGATTTTGAGGTGTGAAATTATGCAAAAAATGTAATTTCTCTCAGAAAAAATCATCTTTAAGCAAGATTGCAAAGTTTTTCTGAGGAAATTTGAAAATTTAACCATACATTTTGTTAAAAATACCCTTTTTCCCTCCCCTATCTCTTTGTTAATACTAGCTGATTAGAATAACGAATCTTTTATGAGATAACAGTTACTAAATGCAATCATAAAGGTGAATTCTCTGAAAGATTCATGGACATATGACTGCAAAAGCACAGCGAAACGGTATATAAGACAATGAAAGAGAAGAACCACAGGAGAGAGGGCAAAACTCCTTTTGAATCGCTGAAAAGAGTTCAGGTCTGGCGCAGGATGTGCAACCGTTAATAGCGGTCGGAAGAAAATTCACAAAATGCGTGCGTGGGTGCATGGACCGATCAAGCCGATACTGTGCTGAAAGACTTAAGTAAGCGTGCTTTCAGCTTTTGACAAAAACAGCCTATCCCAGCCAATAAGATAAAATTTGTCAAATACGCCTGACTTAAGGTGTGGATTGGATCTTCCGTCCGATTCGGTACTGGTACAAACAGCCAAGCAATGCGCCATCTCCAGTGGTTTCAGTACCGAAGCAGTGCAACAGTTCTGTAACTGTGCGGTATCTTCCGGCCTTGAGTATGTATTTTTTCCATACTTTTTAATTTATGCGGTGTAACAGAAAACACTCTTAGAAAACTGTATACCAAGTACACCAAGATCAGTCAGAGCAGTGATTTCAGTGGGATACTCCCATTACGAAAGGAGACTCAATTATTTCAAAGTCTTCGACCCTGAGCTACATACCTCCAGTCAGTACTGGTCGTTTGTTCGGTAAATGTGCATCATTTCTTCGAAGGTCATCTGAGTGGTCGTTTACTTTTTCGCAGTTACCGTGCAGTAAAAATTTGGTTCCCTGGCGCGTTCGAGTACCAATTTGTCGTTGAAATGAGTCAAAGCAAGTGAAATGAATAATATCCTACTGATAGATTCGAAACAAGGGTTCGAGCTTGTGAGTATGTGTTGTTTGCGCACCACCAAACTAACTACAAAGTGGATATTTTCAGGAAACTGCGAGACGTATGCCCGCGTCTGCGCGTTTACTGAAGACCAACAAGTGATGAAGTGTTGTAGAAGTGCAATTATCATTAAAGCAATATTTCTATTTTTTGTTCTGTTACTAATCCAGACTTGAAGGGCCTACCATAGTTGTATTAGGTATATGGGAGCATTTTAGTAACACCATTAAAATGAGGCACCCAAACTGGTCACTCAAGCGATACTCCTGGTATTTATGGCGCACATACATTGCATAGGTTGTAGGTGCCAAATGGAGCTATGCAGTTCGGAATCCAAAAGCCTGGCGTAGATGCGCCACGTATTTCAGTAACATCACTAACATAGGATACCCATACTCGTGGTCCCGGCGACTTTGATTTGGGGCAGATAATTTTCCCCATAAAAGTTTCAGTGAAACATTTCTTTGTTTTGCAAACAAATAGAACATCTTGCCATCAAAGAGGCAGTAATTCCTGGAAATAATTTATAACAACTTTTTTTTGGGTTGCATTGGAAGTCGATGTTTCCGAAATTTGCAGAAATAAATTTGCAAATGGTCTTGTATTTGTTGCACTGTACCAATAACGATTTTTTAAAAGCTAGTGAAACAATTTGTCTTAGTTGCCTCAGCGTGCTTTGTTTGTTATAACATACTTCATTTCCCTCATTTGTGGATTCCTTTTAGCTGCATTTTGATACGATCGGGCCCGTGTGTGTGAGTGTGTGTGTATGTGTGTGTGTGTGTGTGTGTGTGTGTGTGTGTGTGTGTGTG